AATCCCTGCCAGATTTATGTACTGAAGTTATACTCTTCCTGTATGTAATATTGTTTCCATTTTGTTTAGTGTGTCTTTTGTTGAATAGAAGTTTTTTGTGAATTTATAGTAGGTAAATTTATCAATCTTTCCTCCTTATGAGTTGAGCTTTTTGTGTATATTTGAAAGAAATATTTTCCTACACATAAATATATTCACTTATATTTTCTTCTAAAAAATTTATAATTTTGCTTTTTAACATATTGATCTTCAATTCACCTGAAATTTCATTTTGTGGAAGGTGGAAGGTAAGAATTCATTTTATTTTTTATTTCAAATGAATTGCTAATTTTCCCAGCACCATTTATTGAATAGTCCAGCATATTTTTAATACTTTGTAATAAAAACTTTAATGTTTCTAAACATGTGTGTGTGTATGGGCTTTATTCTGGTCCATTGGGCTTTATAGCCCTGTGCCAATACCACCCTGTGTTCATTATAAAAATGATCATAATTAGATAGTAGAGTTGATAGAACACTCTGTCTAACAGGAAAAAATCCTGCCTCATGATCGTGTTTTTCAAAATAGTCTTGGCTGGTTTTGGCCTGTGGCTCTTCCACATGAGTTGTAGGATCAGCTAGTCAAATTTCATTTTCCTCACTTATTAGAATTGCCTTTAATGATAAACTAATAGCCCTGGCCAGTTTTTCTCAGTGGTTAGAGAATCAGCCCATGGACCAAAGGTCATGGGTTTGATTCCTGGTCAAAGGCATGTACTGTATTTCAGTTGTGGGCTCAATCCTTAGTTGGGCACATGCAGAAGGCAACCAATCTCTCTCTCTCTCTCTCTCTCTCTCTCTCTCTCCCTCTCTCTCCTTCCTCCTTCCCTTCCATTCGCTCTAGAATCAATGGACAAAATATCCTCCTCCTCCTCCTCCTCCTCCCCCTCCACTCTCTAAAAAAAATCAATGGAGGAATATTGGGGGATAAAAATAAATTAATAGAGAGAGAATTAAGATTTTTATAATTTATCTTCTCAAACATGAACATAGTATATATTTCCGTTTATTTAGGTCTTCCGTTCTCTCTAAATAATGTTTTTCTTGAAGGTTTTGCACTTTTGTTGTTGTTGTTAATCCTCACCTGAGGATATTTTTCCATTGATTGGGCTATTGCATTAATTAAGACCATCAATACAATAATAAATAATCTCTCTATATAAAAGACTAATATGCAAAGTGTCCCCTTGGAAGTTTGACCAGGAGACCGGGAGTTTGACCACTTGCTATGATGTGCACTGACCACCAGGGGGTGGGGCAGAACATGGCGGTGGACCAGTGGCAGCAGCAGGGTGCTGAGGGAGCGAGGGAAGGAGGAGGCGGGGAGGCAGGAAACCTAATCGGCCCTAATCACCAGCCAGGCCTCGGGACCCTACCTGTGCACAAATTTCGTGCACAGGGCCTCTAGTATTAAATAATAAAGGTAATAATAAGAATCTTTTTATTATTTCTAACTGTCATAAAAGTAGTTTTTAAAAGTTTACCATTAAGAATAGTATTTACAATTTTTTTAAAAAAGGAATAGTATTTGCTGTATGTTTTTGAAAAATCAGTTTTACCAGGTTAAGGAATTATCTTTTTTCCTAAGTTACTAAAACTTCTTGTCATTAATGAGGATTATTTGATGGAATTCTTTTCTGCATCTATTGAGATATTATCATCACTTAATGTGGTATATTACATTAGTAAATTTCCTAATATTGAAGCATCCTTGAATTCTGGGGTGATATAGATGATTTTAATAAATGATTTATTCTCATGCTTTAAAATGTATAGCAAAACCTCACTCAGCATAACAAATAGGATGAAAACCACTTTGATTTAGTAGAGAGGTTAAAGCAGTATTGTTTTTCATGACTTATTAATTTATACATTGGTCAGCACTGTCAGAAATTTCTAATAGAGTTTTATTTATTTCAGTTACATATTGTAACAACGATAACAAGTGGAAATACAATGTTGTTTTAATGAGCAAGCCAACTAATCTGTAATTATTGGCATGTATTATTTCTCCTAAATAATGAATAAGCCAGTCCCTAAAATTGTTTGCTTTTTGAATTAGATTTAATGTGCTGCTATGAATTTGCTTAGCAACCTTAAATTATGGCAAATTTCAGCCAACTCTGATTTGAGTGAAATAGCCCATGTTTCAAGTTATTAAGTTTGAAATGATACTTAGCTTTACCATATGCTTGCTGTTTTGTGGGGGGAGAGGAAGAAACCCCTAATTCTGACCTAAATTGTTTGAGGCATTTGTTTGTCTGGTGGGAGATTTGCATTGCTGGAGGTTCATTATTGACAATGCTCTTTCCAATGTCATCTTGCCATGGGTGTCACAACTTGGAACGCTGTGAAACAATTAGAAAAATCCTTTACTTCCGGAGCTAGTCAGTAGCTGACAAAAATTTTTATTATTATCTCACATGTCACTGAGATTTGTTTGAGCTTCGTACTGAATATGCTCCAACACCCCAAATGGATGTGAAAGATTTTGTCTCTAGAGAATGGATTTTTAAAAGCCCCTGAAAGCTCTGGTTCAATTCTTTATTAATGTAGTGGAGATGTGAGATTGTTCCCTGTCTGTGAACATGCCCTTTAAAAAAAAAAAAAAATCTAGCTTTGAGTCCTGGTTTAAATGTTTTGCTTAGCTTCCCTTTAATGGATCCGTTGTCATTCTACATTGGGAAATCAATATCTACAAATATTTATTCTGAGGTCAAAATGGTGCAGATACCATAGTTCAAATAAGAACATTTCTCTTCCTTCTCCAAACATTTCTTTCTCTCCTCTTTTGCTTTCTATTCTCCTGCCTACTTTTACTGCCCTCTCCTTTTCCACTTAACTGTGCCTTGAATTTGTCAAATGAACGAAAGACAATGTTTTATACCAATGGAGGTGTAAAGGGGCATATTATTGCTGACCTTTTCCGATACCAAGAAAAGTTAAACAGCTTTGATTTATAATAAGCAACATATCCTCTTTCAAGTGTGAGCCCTAATTTTACATTTACTAAGTAGTATGTGTGTGTGTGTGTGTGTGTATATATGGGTCAATTAGTCCATGTAAACAACTTAGCAGGACCAAGAGGATTATCTTCACATACATTGGCTGTATAAGACAAACACTATTTGATAGCTTAACCCACACATAACATGTTAATACATAGTCAACAGATATCAATACATATTGTGCAAATATAGCATCATTCTCCGTCTCTTTTCTAACCTAAATTTCATCCAAAGCAATTCTTACCTAGATGTTTTATTCATTGACTAAAGGGCAAACATGACAGATTAAATTGGAAATTTAATTATAATTGACAAATTCTTTAACACTAACTACCATAATATATACAATACAATTAAAACATACCAAATTAATTGTATTAGCTCTGATCTGTCCAGATCTGTGGGATGACCCTCAGGCTATTTATAAAATATCTGCCACTTACCAAAAAGAAATTAGGCAGTTTGTGTTAATTTAAACTAATACTTCAGTGTTCACTGTCCAAATATGACTGCGCTGGCTGTGTTTTCTTAAGAAGAAAATAAGAGATGGACTGTGTGTTGGAATGTATGCAACCACAATGTGACTGACTTCATGGGAGCTGAGTCAGTCTTCTCTTTGCTATCAGCGGAAGAGTGAATAAATGTCACTAGAATAGTTCCTGTTTATTGGGAGATTACTGGGTAATGAATTACCTGGCACTGAATTCCTTCTAAAATGTAAAGGCATGGGTACTGTTATTAATCTCCCTTACCTAGATGTGAAAGTGAAGAATTAGAGAGGTTAAATGCCTCATGCAAGATCACACACTGGGAAAACCAGGATTCACCCCCAGCCAGTTGAATCCAAAGCCTGAGTGCTTCACCACTGATTTCTAATTGCTGAAAACTTGAAGCAGAGCATTTAAGATGTTCAACATGTTATTTTAGGAAAGATAGACATGTGGTTTGGGGGAAAAGGACTGTTTCTAATGAATGAAACAGCTAGAGCAATGCCTGATATTAAATGAAAACCTTGGATTAATCTCCTCTTAAATGACTGAATGCATGTTTGTCACCCAGAACAGTGCCTGATATGTAGTAGCACTCAATACATGTGAGTTCTGGTATCAGGAGTCAAGGTAACAAATTCTGGCTTAAATGAACCAGGGTCTTATCTTAGAAAACAGAAGTCTGAAGATAGGTAGACCTGGCCTGCCAGAGGGGCTCAAGGAAATCCTTAAAGTAGGGGCTCCTCTGGCTCCCTGGGCCATCATTCTTAGCCCTTGGAATTAAATTTTGAGAGGGGTAAAGGCTGAGTGACATATCCATAGGAACCCCCGATTCGACATCAACAAAAAGATCCTAGGGCTCCCCAGCCCTGCGGATCGCTGGTTCCCAGTTTGAAATGCCCTAACGCTGATTGGTGGAGCTCGTGGGCTGGGGTTATGCCTTCCTTGCTCCTGTAAAGACTTGTTTCTGCAAAGAACACCTAATGAAAACCAGACACTGAACAATTGGTATTACAGCCAAAGGAATGCCTTCTTCTAACTCTGTAAAGGTTGATTATAGCCATGGAGGGCTGATGTGGTGAGTCCCCAGGTGTTAGGGCTCCCAAACTCCACCTCTAAAGCGTTCAGAGTGGGCTCCTGCAAGAGTGGGCTCCCTGTGTCACA